TTTTCTTTATTTTCTTTGAAATTATCATTTTTTACTCTTTAATTGATATTCCTTTTTAAATTTATAAGCTAAAAAAATATTTATGGTTTAGATTTTTAACGTACTCTTTTATTTGTCGTAGTTCTTTACATTGTCTAACACTAGGATATTCGTGGCTAAGTGTCTTAAGATTTCCTTTTATCTATATTGGTTCTTTGCATTATCTCGCAATATTTTGGTTTTAAGTCAATGGTATGATTTTGGGGTCAGGGGCGAAATCCGTTGACTCCTAAAGATTTGTCGATTTTTCATCAGACTTTCTTTGTTTCCTTTAGAATTCTTCATAAATTTGCTGACTTTATGGATTGGTGTTTCTTTTCAATTATTTAAGCCATAGAGTATTCATGTTTAGGTTTGTTATGTATCATTGTTTCTATCTCAATTCTTTGTATTATCTTCAATGACTAGGTCATAATTTAAGTGTTAGATTTTGGGGTCAGAGTTGAAATATGTATATCCCAATTTGGTAGCAGATTTTATTTCCCCTTTTGGTTTTTTGATTCGAAACGATTCATAAATTTTTTTGGGCTAATTGGTATTTTTTTAGTTGTATAATCCTAAACGATAGTTCATAATTTGGTTATTTCAAGTTTCATTTTACTCACCCCGAGTCTTTGCATTGTTTAGCCTAAGATATGTACTAACTCAGTAATTAGACTCTGGGGTTAGGGGTATGATCTGTAGATCCTTCATGAACTAGTCGTTTTTCCTTTCAGTTGTTTTATTTGATTTAATATTATCAATACTTTAAGGGTTATTATTTAATTTTATTGTTGCATGCCAAAAGATATTCATTGGTTAGTTTTTCAATTTACCATTTCATTTTCCTTGGTTCTTTTTATTGGTGGGCATTGCTTATGTCTCAATTTAGTAAAATAACTTTGGGATAATTGTTGAAATCCGTGGATCCTTATTTATAAGTCCATTTACCTTTCGATCTTTTTTGTTTTAGTTGAAATTATTCATAATTTTATCAGACTTTTTACTTGATATATATATATTTTTATTTTTAAGCCTAAGGATGTTCATGACTTAGTTTGTTTAGTACATCCTTTCATCTTTCATGGTGATGTGTATTCTCTAGCGTAACTAATGTTTCAATTTGTTGACTTGACTTTGGGGACAGGGGTGAAATATGTAGATCCCCATTAACTAGTCAATTTTCCTACTGATTTTCTTTGTTTCATTTGAAATTACCCATACTTTTTTTACTCTTTTAGTGAATATTCTTTTTTAAATTTATAGGCCAAGAAGATATTCATAGTCGAGATTTTTTATGTGCGTTTTTATTGGTCGTGGTTCTTTGCGTTGGCTGACATTAGGATATTTGTGGTTAAGTGTTTTGAAAGTTCCTTTTATCTATTTGGTTCTTTGCGTAATTTGACATTATTTTGGTTTTAAGTGGATGACAAGACTTTGGGACCAGGGGTGAAAAATATCGACATATCGACCTCGAAGATTTGTTGATTGTCCTTAAGACTTATTTTGTTTCATTTCAAATTCCTCATAATTTTGGTCACTTTATGGATTAGTGTATTATTTCAATTTTTTAAGCCAAAGAGTAATCATGACTAAGTTTTTTATGTATCATTGTTTTTGTCTCAGTTCTTTGTATTATCTTCAATTACTAGGTCATAATTCAATGATTGGATTTTGGGGGGGTGAAATCCATATTTCCCAATTTAGTATTTGTATATTCTAAATGATAGTTTTTAAGTGAGTTATTTCAAGTGCCATTTTACTCGTCCCGCTTCTTTGCATTGTTTAGCCTAAGATATGTCTCAACTCAATGATTAGACTTTGGGGTAAAGGGTGAAATTCATTGGTCCTACATGAATATGGATCTTTTCCTTCTTTCCTCTATTGGTTATTTCAATAAAAAACGATACATATTTTTGTTGTTCTAATTGATATTTTTTTAGTTTTATAATCCTAATTGAGTTATTTTAAATATCTTTTTACTCACCTTGCTTCTTTGCATTGTTTAATCCCAAGATATGTCATTAATTCACTAAGTAGACTTTGAGGTCAGTGGTGAAATCCATGGATTCTTCATGAATTTGGCATTTTTCTTTTCAGTTTTTATTGTTTGATTTTAAATTATCAATACTTTTTAAACATTATGGGTTATTATTTCTTTTTTTTGTTGCAAGTTAAGAGCCATTCATGACAGTTTTTTTATATACCTGTTAAATTTCATTGGTTATTTTTTTGGTTGGCATTACTTATGTTTTAATTTAATATAATATTTTTGGGGTCAGGGATGAAATCCTTGGATCCTTATTTACGAGTCCATTTACCTTTCATTCCTTTGTGCTTTTGTTGAAATTATTCATATCTTTGACTGACCTTTTACTTGATATTCTTTTCTATTTTTAAGCCTTATGAAATTCATGACTTAGTTTTTTAGTACACACTTTTATCTTTCTAGTTACGTACATCCTCTATCATAACTTATATTTAAATTTATTTACTAGACTTTGGGGCCAGGGGTGAAATAAGTAGATCTCCATTAACTGGTTAATTTCCTACTGATTATTTTTATTTGAAATTATCCTTAGTTTGTTTAATCTTTTAGTTGATATTCCTTTTTAAAGGTTGAGATTTTTATCGTACTTTTTTACTTGTCGTGGTTCTTTACATTGTTTGGCACTAGGATATTCGTGACTATGTTTTAAGATTTTTTTTTTCTCGAACTTGAGTTGTTACATTATTTGGCAATATTTAGATTTTAACTCAATGACAAGACTTTAGCGATGAAATCCGTTGATCACTAGAGATATGTTATTTCTTCTTCAAACTTTCTTTGTTTCATTTTAAATTCTGCATAATTTTGTTGAATTTATAGGTTGGTGTTTCTTTTCAATTTTTTAAGCCAAAGAATATTCATGATTAGTTTTTTACGTATCATTGTTTATGTCTCAATTCTTTGTTAGTAAACCCATTTTTATAAAACTGTTTCCAAAATTAGTTATCCAAAAAGAACTTTTACTTGGATTTGATGTTTTGCATCAAGTAAAACTTCAATGGACTTCCAAATGATTACATTATAGGAACCTAACTTTGCCTTGGATAGCATGTATAGAACTATGTTATACCCTAGAAGCTGTCAAACAAAAAATCATATCAGATTGCTGTGCCAATTCCCATTCTGAGTTTCTCAAAAAATGCACAAACCCATTATGGAGAAATCAGATTTTTTATGTTAAACTGCCTTTTAAGAAAAATTTCCTTTGCCTAACCAAATTGCACTATTTTCTCAGATTTCCCATACTCATATTTTCCAAATTTGATTTAAAATCAGGATTTTGGCAAATAGGAATTCACCCAGATGATCGTCTTAAAACAACCTTCTGTTTACCAAATTACTATTTTCAATGGACGGTTATGCCTTTTAGTTTGAAAAATGCACCCACATATTTTCAAAAAGTTTTAACTATCATTTTTGGACCAATCTCAACACAAGCATTGATGTATATAGGTGACATACTCCTCTTTTCTCCTGATTTAGATATTCATGTTTTCCTGTTAGATAAATTCTACTCCCTCTATTGTAAATATGGTATTATGCTTTCTGAAAGAAGTGTGTCTTTGCTACTACAAAAATAGACTTTGTTGGTATGCATTTCACAATGGAATGTACAAACTCGAGCCCCATATAACCAAACACTTGTTAGAGTTTCCGGATACTTTATCCTCTGTAAAGCAAATCCCGTAATTTTTAGGAATTGTAAATTATATATCCATTTTTATACCCAAACTTTCTCTGTTCACTAGTCCTCTTTATCTTCTGTTAAAGAAAAAAGCACAACCATGGAAAACAGACTGAGTGTGTTCTAGAGCTCAAAAGATTATCTCAAAATTTACCTTCTTTTAAAATCCCATCAATAGGAAAAAGAATTTTGCGAACAGATGCATCTGATGAATTTTGGGCATGTATTTTACTTGAAGAAAAAGAAAAAGACAGAATGATTTGTGGATATAAAAGTGGAAAATTCGAAGATTTTGAACTTCATTACCATTCAACATTCAAAAAAATCCTTGCGGTAAAAGGAGAAATAGAAAAATTCCAATTCTATCTGATAGGACATACTTTCCTTGTTGAAATGGATTTATCTGTTTTTCCAAATATGCTCAAGTTTAAGAATAAAATACTTCCGAATCCCCAGTAAATTAGATGGGCAAATTAGTTTTCTCAATGGAATTTGAGTATAAGCATATTTCTGAAAAGAACAATATTTTGGCAGATATGTTTTCCCGAAGAAGATTTTCTGAAGAAACAAGTCTTTTTGTTGTTCCTTTCATAGGAGCAATGATCAAAATAGATGAAGAAACAAAAGATGTTCCTGATGAAATATATAATATCATTCTTAGTAAAACAATGAAATCAAGAAATGAGAATATGCAACAAAAACTACATGAAATATTGAACAGAAATCACGGAGAATGTTTTCAAGGAATTCGATCTCATCCTGCATATCCATTTTTATCTTTATTCCAAATCAGACATTATTATAATATACCAAAAGAAGCAATTGGTTTCCTCTGGTATCTTACCCAAAACCACCATATATGTTTTAATTTCCATATAAGGAAATTATTATCCTACCTCAGACACTGTCATTTCCTACAATGGAACAATTACATCTACCCCAATCCCAGAGCATTCAACTTTTATAAATTTCTTCTAAAGCATTACCACTATAATAAATGGATTGAATCTTTTGGTTATCTTCATCGACCTTATATCAATATAGCATTCCATCAAGACCTTAGACCCCAAATTTATCCTTAACATGCCTATTTCACCCAACATCCTCAAATCCAAACCATTGGATGGTATGATTCAAATCTCCTGAATTTTTGGATATTTCAAACAGAATTATGGAAAAAATTTAAAATTCTCATGTGCTATATTAACAGAATCCAGCCGGAATTGATTCCTTTGGATGTCTATACAGGAACCACAATTTGGAATGTTGAGACTTCCCGAGGAGCTGCACTGCTACACCAACTTCACATATGGCTCTCTGATGATCCTCCTCCTGTAGAAATACAAACAGATAGTTCCAGTGATGATACATACATTGGACTCTCACACAACCCGTCCAATCCATCTTCACCAAGCTATGATTCAGACGATTATCCTCTCAATTATGACATTGATTGAAAAACATTATTCAACATCACTGTGGATATCACTATTATATCGGCAACACTGTTCAACATCACTGTGGATATCACTATTCTATTGGCAACACTGTTCAACTTCACTGTAAATATCACTGTTCAAGACAAGCAAGAATCTCCACTGTTCACTGTTCAGGTCGGCCACCTGTCCACTGTTCACTGTTCATGTCGGCCACCTGTCCACTGTTCACTGTTCTTGTCGGCCACCTGTTCACTGCTCACAGTTCATGTCGGCCACCTGTTCACTGTTCACTGTTCATGTCGGGCACCTGTCCACTGTACATCTAATTTTACTGTTCATAATAGCCACCTGTCTTGGCCAGCTGACTTTTTTTATTGTTGTTTTGAATTTGGATTTCAAGTCCGATGCCTATATAAGGCCCTTTAAGTCAGTTGTAACGGCAGAGTGCTACTTAGAGCCTCTCAGCCTAGTTTCTTTCTTGGTGTGCTTCTTTCATACTTCTGCTTTTGCTTGTAAGCTTGTTGCTTCTTTCATTTTTTTGCTTTTTCTTGTAAGCTTCTTGCTTCTTTCACACTTCTGCTTTTGCTTGATTGAACTTGTAAGTTTGATCCTTATATTTTTTTTATAAACTATCGGTGTGCATGGATGTTCATTATGATTGTTTCCTTATATCCTTATGTCTGCATTATTGTTTCCCTTGTTGTTTCCTTTATGCACATCTATATTGGTATCAGATCCCCTGTTTTCTAAACAAGAACATCTTTTTGAAATAACGTATACCCTTGAAAAGTTTTCTGAAGCTAGTTCTCAATTAATTAATCCTTACCATGTTTATGATAAATCTAGCTTAAATTAGACCAAAAGAACCCTGAAGCCATCAAAGAATATGTTCAAGCCTCTTCCTTTGATCAACACCAAATCCCTGCTACCCAAGCTGAACAATACATTACTATTGCCTCACCCAGAAACCTTTTTCCCTAATGGCTTAAAGATGGATATATTCATATTCATTTTGAAGCTATAAAATTAACCTTAACATTTCATAGAAGAAAATGTATGGAGGCAGTTTCCCGAATTGCTTTGTTAGATTCCAGATTTTTAAAATACTAGCAGATACTCCTGTATAAAAAAATGCTGATATGGTCAAAGGCTTAGAATGATGTTCATGGAGTATCTGAACGAGGGCTATTGGGGTAGGCTGATATGGTAAATGGTTTATGTCTGAAATCTCATCCTGTGGAGACAATAACTCTGGAACAAGAGTGTTGCTTATCTCATTTAACTCATTTCCATCCGAATAAGAAATAGATAGTAAGGTTTTTGGATTTTGCTCATCATCAAGAGAAAACACAGATTCATCAATTTCTTCATCCAAAATCTGTGATAAAAGATGTATTATCTTTTTTTTCTTTTTCTGATTTGGGCAATCTTTTGCAAAATGACCTCTCTTTCTACAGACATAGCATCTATCTCCTTTATTATGTTTGATACCTCGAAATCTTGATCTTCTGAGATATTTGAATTTTTGTTCAACCTTCTTTCTTCCTTTCGAGGTGGGTGGACATGAACACTGTTTTTCTGTATCACATTTAATCTTAAGATATGGTTTATCACAATATTTTCCAAATAAATACTTATTCTTTTTCAATTGTTTCACAAATTTAAGTTGATTGCAGAGTCTTTCTAAAGCATGGAGAACAAATTGATATAATTCACCAAAACTGGTGTTTTGAATAGTAAGTCCTTGATTTTCCATTGTCTTTGTTGCTTCTTTTCTAAGAGTAGGAGGTATAGATTCAAGATAAAATTGTTTCAAATTTATATCATCAATTCCTCCTATTTTATGGTATCTTTTATTCATCTTTGAAAAGTGTTTTTCAAGATCTTGTCTTTTGGAAGAACAACATTTAAGCTGAAAAAATTCTTCTCTGACAGCAATCTGTTCATGCTTAATTAGGCCTGAGAATTCAGAGACTAAGTAATTAAGGAATTCAACAATGGACTGACTATTTCTTAACTGTGTTTGTCGGTATTCTCCAAGACTTATGTATCTGTAAAAAAGGCATCCTCTTAGCCTTACAATAACTTTAGAAATTGTACTGGCTAATGTATTTGCAGGGTTAAGCATTTCTGAATGCATCCATCCTTGAATCTCTCTGAACCTATCATTCTATTGTGAAGGTGGAATGTCATCAATAGTAAATCCCTTAGATGAATCTCCATAGGTCGAGGTAGGTTGAGGTTCTTGTTGGTTCGGAGGTCTAAATTCTTCTTCCATGATAGGGTCTGGATCTAGTTCATGAGGTGGTTCAAGGGGGTTCATCATTAATAAAGATTTTGAATCCAAGGAAAAAGAGGAGGATTTATCTTTAGAAGTATTAGACATATCTTCTGAGGATTGTGTTTCAGTTTGAAGGTTTACTTCAGGTTGTTTTGTCAGGTTTTTAAGGAATGAACTCATATTATTCATAGGTTTGGGAGAAATCAACTGGGTTGGAACTGAAGAGGCCATGGCATCAGGTTCAGTATCAGATAACAGAAACATTTGGGGTTCATTTTTGGATACCTGAGGAATAGTATGTGGTTGAACTGTTTGGACTGTTACTGGTGTAGGGGTAATTGGGGGTTTAGGTATAGGATTTTGTGATGAACTGGGTATTGATACATTTGGTTTTTTTCTTGAACACTTCTTTAGGGAAACGTCTTTCATCTTCAAAAGAACTTAAAGCTCTAAAACCAAATTGCCTAGGTGGAATCAATCATGTAGGTGGATAAAGTGTTCTTGTAGGTGGAAAAGGGTCAGTAGTTCTTGAGGTAGGGTAATTTTGAGTGTATGGGTTTGCAAGCAAAAGTTGAAATTGGGACTGGTATTGTGTCTGAGGATATTGAGATTTCATCTAAAGATCTTTTTCAAGGCTTTATAACTGTTTTGCTAAAAATGCTTTCTTCTTTTCTTTCTGATTCAGTAAATAGGATTGTTCATGAATATCCTTTACTGTATATAAGATATGCATCAAGTCTTAATGCAACAACTAAATTTTTTCCTTTAATTGAACAATTATGCCAACTAATCCTTGTAACTGAGACGACATAACATTCTGTTTTTCATCTATTCGCAATAATGCTAAATTATCTGATTTAGCATTTTCAGCTTGCCAATTAAGGCTTGCTTCAGCTGGAGATAAAGACTTCTGTACTCCAGTGACATCTCTTGTACTTGGATTTTTTATCTTCCATACATATTTTTCATTTTCTTGAATCTTTTCATAATCATGTAATGAAGGAAAATTTGAGGCATAACTTGAACTTTGAGGATCAAAGGCTAAGCATTCTGGAATGTGATTTTTTCTTTTAGAATTTCCATTATGATCATCCCATCCTATAGGGACGATTTTCGAAACAGTGTGTTTGGGTTTTTGACTACTATAAGTCACATAATAATTCCATTTTTTTGAACTTTCTTCATGTAATTCAACAGATGGATCACCTTCAATATATCTTTGATGAAGTTTTTGCTGAGAAGAAATTTTCTTTCTGTTTTTCTTTTTTGGTGTTTCATCAAAATCATCTCTAAGACAAGTGGAACAATTGCAAGTGTCAAACCAATTATGACCATCATAAGTCTTTTGTTCATAAATAGGTCTTAATTCAATTACTAGATTTTGAGGGTAGGAGTGAAATTCATATATCCCAATTTTTATAGCCAATTTTATTTTCCTTTTTTGTTATTTTATTCGAAACGATACATAATTTTGTTGGCCTAATTGATACGTTTTTAATATTATGATCCTAAATGATAATTCGTAACTGAGTTATTCCAAATGTCATTTTATTTGCCCTGTTTCTTTGCATTGTTTCACCTAAGATATATCTTAACTCAATAACTAGATTTTGGGGTTAGGGGTAAAATCCATAGATCCTTATTGAATTTGACATTTTTCCCTTTAGTTTTGTTGTTAGATTCTAAATTATCAATACTTTATAAACATTACAAGATCTTATTTCTTTTTATTGTTGCAAATCAAAAGATAGTCAACGCTTAGTTTTTAATACACCCTTTCATTTTCCTTGGTTCTTTCTATTGGTTGGGATTACTTAATGTAATAAATATATTTTGGAGTCAGGGTGAAATCTGCAGATCGTTATTTATAAGTCCATTACCTTTCAATCTTTGTGTTTCAGTTGAAATTATTCACAACTTTGTCTAACTTTTTACATGGTATTCTTTTTTATTTTTAAGCCTAAGGTTATTCATAACTTGATTTTTTAGTACATCCTTTTATCTTTCATAGTTATGTGCATTCTCTAGCATAACTTGTGTTTTAATTTGTTGACTAGATTTTTGGTTCAGGGGTGAAATCGGTAGATCCCGATTAACTGGTCAATTTTTCAACTAGTTTTCTTTGTTTGATTTGAAATTATTCATAATTTTTTTAATCTTTTAGTTGTTATTCTTTTTTAATTTTTTAAGCCGAAAAGATATTCATAATCTAGATTTTTAGTATTACTTTTTTATTTGTCATAGTTCTTTGCATTGTCTGGCATTAGGATATTCATGACTAAGTGATTTAATATTTCCTTTGATCTATCTTGTTTCTTTGCAGTATTTGGCAGTTAAGCTAATGACAAGACTTTAGGGCCAGGGATGAAATCTGTTCGACTCCTAGTGATTTGTCGATTTTCCTTCTGACTTTTTTTGTTTTATTTTATTCTCATAATTTTCTTGAGTTTATAGAATGATGTTTCTCTTCATTTTTTTAAGCCAAAGAGTATTCATTACTAGTTTTTTGTGCATCATTGTTTGTGTCTCGGTTCTTTATATTATCTTCAATAATTTGGTCTTAATTCAATAACTAGATTTTGGGGTCTAGGGTGAAATACGTCTATCCCAATTTAGTAGCCGATTTTATTTCCTGTTTTGGTTGTTTGATTTGAAACGATACATAATTTTCTTAGCCTAATTGTTACTTTTCTACTTTGATAATCTTCAACGATAGTTCTTAAATGAGTTATTTCAAGTGTCATTTTACTCGCCCTGGTTTTTTGTATTATTTAGTCTATGATATATCTTAACTCAATAACAAGACTTTGGGATCAGGGGTCAAATCCGTATATCCTTTTTGAATATGGAGTTTTTCCTTTAACTTTTTCTTTTTTGACTTTAAATTATCAATACTTTATAAACATTACATGTTATTATTTCCTTTTATTGTTGCAAGTCAAAAAGTTATTCATCTCTTAGTTTCTTAACTTATAATTTTCATAGTTTTATTTATTGGTTGGGATTACTTATGTTTCAAATTAATTAAAAAATTTCGGGATGTGAAATCTATGGATCCTTATTTATAAGTCAATTTACATTTCAATTTTGTGTTTAAGTTGAAATTATTCATAACTTTGTCTGACATTTTACTTTGTATTCTTTTTTATTTTTAAACCTAAGGATATTCATAAGTTAGAATTTTTGTGCATCGTTTCATCTTTCATGGTTATATGCATTCTTTGGTACAACTTGCGTTTCAATTTATCGACTAGACTTTGGGGGTAGGGGTGAAATCTGTAGATCCCCATTAATTAGTCACTTTTTGCATTGATTTTATTTCTTTGATTTGAAATTATCCAAAACTTGCTTATTGTTTTTTTAATATTCTTTTT